GTAGACAAATAAATGGGGTTGCTTCATTAGAACCCTTTGATCATTATTGAGAGAAATTACAATGCAAAATTAGGGTTAGTGGAGTTTCTGATCACTTGGTTCCATTTTTCTTCTTGTTCTTTTTTTCATGTCTATTTTTGGAAACTACTAGAAATGTCAGTGTTACGAAGCCAAACCGAAAGAGAGTGAATGTCTTTGAAATTATCCCTTAATTATGTAACAACGCTCTTTAGTACTCTTGTTGGCATTAATTTATACTCAAGAATAACAAACTAATATGACGTGACCTATAGATTACAGATTTGAGTCGTGGAAGCAACCATTAATGCTTGTATTAGGGTAGACTGTCTATATTACATTATTCGGTTTGCGGTCCTTCTTTGGATTGTGTGTAAATATAGAATACTTTATGTACTCGGTTGCCTTTTTAATAATAACAAACTAACATGAGGCAGATATATACTCTGTGAATACACATATTTTGTGTGTGTATTTAGAAATAAAACGGGGTAGAATATGCAGCAATAATGGTGATAACAACCAGTCACCCAACATCATCAACATCATGGGTAGGAAATTCTTGTTGAGTGTCTTATCACAATTCACAAATCACCACTACACAACATGGAAGCAACGATTGAGCAATGTGTGATTGAGCAGACAAATAACTGTAAATAGCTACTACTCCCACTATAGCACGGCATAGTGTCAGGGGCGGAGGTAGTGTGGTAGCTACGGTTCGGTCGAACCCAGTAGCTTTTGTTTAAACATTATATTTGTATTGAAAAAATTATTAAATATATAAAAATATTTAATTGCGAACCCAGTAACTAAAACGAGCTAGGGTTCGATGATGAAATTAGAACCCATAACCTTAAAATTCTAGCTTCGCCACTACTAGCCAGCTGCCAAGTAAGCTAGTGAATCCAGTAACTAAAGTTGTGAAATTCAAAATGAGTATAATCGTATTATATATATAAGTATTTATTAATTTATTGAAGGATTCGAAATATACGGAAATTCTATTATAGTTTAATGACTGTATGGAAGGATCTACATCCTNTTGTATATATAATTTTTTCTTGTTTTTCCGTCCTCAGTTTAATTAACAATATTGTCATTTTCTCTCCATATATTTTTCTCTTCCGTATAATTCCTTTGGGAAAGGGTAAAATCCATGCAAAGTTTCCATTATCGTACAGATCATATCTTTACTTCACCAACTTCTTTTACGTTAATTATTAAATTTTATTCACGAATTAATCAGTGGGGTGATTAGTGAGTTAGTTGAGGATTAGCTAGCCAGCCTAATTGCTGCTTGATGGATGTGTGCAGAGCCCTAGTTATTAATATAGAATATAAGTAAAAATATTAAGTAGAGAAGTATCAATTATAAATTATACAGATTTGGTAGAAGGACAATATTTAAAGGATAGAAAAGTATAAAGCAAAGAAGGTCACGAGAATTAAATTGAGTTGAAAATAAAATAAAAAATCTCTAAAGTCGCTAATGAAAAAGAGAGGGAATATTAAATTACGTACTTTAACCCTATTCCTCAGAAAAATAATTGATCATTTGATTCAAATCGACTAAATATTATGTTGTCTGAGCAATTATAGTATGAATACTGTTAGACTTTCCGAAATCTGATGGGACATTTGATCCAACTCTCATATAGTGGACAGCATTTTCATTATCTTGATTCATGAGAATTAGATTCTCTCTCGAAACTTCCTACACTTTTTCTTTTTCTTGCGTTATTTTGGCATGTTATTAGCAAGGGTATATATATATTAGAGAGATATATATACTCCCCAAATGATTCCATTAACGCATTTTTTCCTAACATAAATCTTTCTTATTACCAACAAAGGTTGTGGTGAAAAGATTAATTTCATTTATCCTTAATTAAATATTTTGAGTTCGAGTTCTGGGTATAACATCGTCTTTATATTTTTCAGCGCGAACTCGAATTCAGTCAAACCTCAATGCAAATAGCAGACACCGGTTGAATTTTTTTTTTTTTAATAAATCTTTCCTTATTCATCATATGGGTTTTAAATTAATTAAAAAAGATGTATAGAAAACCAAAAATGCAGATGAGTTTTAGGTTTTGGCCTGTGGGGTTTGTATTGTTATTAATTACTATATTATTTCTTTTCTTGCGTTGTGGGGTTTGTAGGTCAATACAACTGCATTGTGGTTGTTAGAAGAAGACATTTTCTCCAAGGTTTTAAAGGTATACTTTAAAAGAAAAACAAATTGAAGATAGACTACTAGACTTGACCAAGTAAATTTCTGTACATTAAAAAGAAGGACTTGACCTAGGTTAAGACTTGACCTAGGAAAGAGTGATATATAGACCATTTAGTAGTTAGGATTAGGGGCGTAAAAATAAAGCCGGTAAACTGCACCAAATCGATAATTCGAGTCAAATCGAGGAACAAAATCCAATTGTGGTTTGGTTTGATTTGAGTTGGTACTGGAAAAATAAACCCAGTCATAATTGGTTTGGTTTAGTTTTAACTAAAAAAAGTCAAACCGAAACCAAACTAACTCGATAGTACATTTATCCAATTTTTAAAATTATTTTATACATATAAATATTTATTATAATGTAATTTATAAATATTTCTTAAACATTTTTGCAGTTTTATTTTTTAACGTATTATTTCAAGTTTGGACTGTCATTCTTGACTGGTAAATAAATTTTATAGCCCATAAATGTAGTAACTCAAACAAAGTTCAAATAAATACTAATGTTAACAAATTAAAAGCAATTCAACACTAGGAATGATGATAGTGTTGGATATCTATTTTTAGTTTCACATTGGTTTATATGAAAATGCATAACTTAGTTTATCTTTTTCTTTAGTGCTTATTATTTAATTAATAATACTTATTAGCTATATTTATTTTAGCATGACCTATATAGTATTTTCATATTATGAGGGCGTTTGGATTGGCTTTTAAACTGGTCAAATCAGCTTTTAAACTCTTTTTAACTTTTTTTTAGTGTTTGGCAAAGTAAAAAAAAATACTTAAAATAAGTTTAAAACTGCTTAAAACAAGCCAAAAACAAGATGCTGGGCAACCGTAACTTTTTTTTTTTTTTTGCTTAA